TATTTTAAAAAATACTCAATAAGTGATCCCGCTATTGGCAAGCACATATCATAAACATATAGTGTCTTCCAACGTATCGTGTTTCATGTTAATCATATCATATATTTCATTATGTCAAGCATATGTCATATCAAAAACATATTGTGTCTTCCAACCTCCTTATAGGTTGGGAATAAACTTAAATGAAAAAAAAATAGTTTTTAATTTTGTTAATTTTAGTAAGGTTTTTTAAATTGAGTCATAGTAACGAAAAAGTCCCAACAAAAAATGAAGGGCCAATAATCGAGAGGGTGGGCTATGGGATAGCAAATTTTAGATTTTAGAAAACCTATCAATTAATACGTTTTCCATGTAAAAAGTAGAGCAAAAACAGAGCAAGAGTTAAAAGAGTTTACAACAGTGTAATAGAAAAGGGCTTTTCAGAATTTCTTTTGTCTTCTTGTCTTTCCCCTCTCGACATCTCCTTCACAACCTCGTGAGTGTTAGTTTAACAAGTTAGCTTCAGAGTGAGCGTTTATTTCTACAAATTGGTATCAGAGCCGATGGCGAACATGATGGGACAAATGCCCGCTACCACGATTGACGAAGAAGAACGACGAGAATTGGAGCATCCAAATGAAAGCTCTTCTTGGTTCTCAAGACGCATTGGAGGTAGTCGAAGAAGGTTTCGAAGAACTGAAGGATACCACGGGTTATATGGCGGCGCAAAACAAGGCGCTAAAAGAATTACGATCAATGGATAAGACAACATTATACATGTTGTTTCGGGCTGTTGACGAGTTGGGCTTTGAGAAGATTGCAAGGGCTTCAAAAGAAGCATTGGACACTTTAGAAAAAGTGTTCAAAGGAACCGACCGAGTCAAGCAGGTGCGTCTCCAAACTTTGCGTGGCGATTTGGAGAGCATGAAGATGAAGGAATCAGAAAATGTATCTGACTACATCACGCGTGTACAGACCGTGGCAAATCAACTAAATCGAAACGGAAAAATGTAACCCGAGACGCGGGTTGTGGAGAAGATCTTGAGGCCGTTAACAAACAACTTCGAGTATGTTGTATGTGCCATAGAAGAGTCAAAGGACCTAGCGACAGTCGATGAGCTTATCGGTTCTCTCGAGGCACACGAGCTACGTAAGAAAAAGAAGAAGGAGACACTCGATCAAGAACTTCAGACTAAGGCATCAATAAAAGATGAAAAGGTACTCTACTCTCAAAATGTTCAAGGTAGAGATCGTGGAAGTCGTAGGAATGGTCGAGGTAGTCAAGACAACAATTATGAAGAAAATTATAAGGAGAAGAGACTATCGAGCCAAGCAAATTGGCGTGGAAGAGGACGCAATCAAGAACGCGGTCAAGGATATAATTCCAATGTTCAATGTTACAAATGTAAAAAATATGGCCACTATGCAAATAATTGTAACTCTGACAAATGTTATAATTGTGGTAGAATGGGTCACTATGCAAGAGATTGTCGAGCCGAGGAAAAGGTAGAAGAAATGATCAACCTAGCCTTGGATGACGCAACAAATGGAGGCACTCTCTTGATGACCCAATGAAGAGCTGAAAACAAAAGAACACGGAGGTGTGAAAGACGATGGCGATAGTCGGAGGTAGTGAAAACTGTTGAAAATGAGGTGATGCGCAGCGGATGTGGCGAAATCCTGATAGCGGAGACGAGAAAATCGAAGAAAGATGAAGAATCGAATAACAGAGAGCCCGAGCTCGAAGAGAGAGAGCTCCAATGGCCGGAAAGGCAATTCGAGGAAGAAAGAAGAAAGAGGATGAAAATGGAAGAAAAAAGAAAGAGTTAGAAATAAAGGTTGAAACGTTAGAGAAGGAAATTGTTGAGCTGAGTGAGAGTTCTTCCTATCTCAAACAGGAGAGGAAGAGAATGGGCAAGTAATCTCTGAACTTGTGAAAGAGAAGATGTGAAGAAAGAGAATGACCTGTTAATGGAGATTGATGCTCTAGTGGACGAGCTAGTAAGGGAGGAGAAAGATATAGAGATGCTGGCTCATAGAGACTCACTCGACGTGAACATGAATCAAGTCCAACAGGAGGTATTGAATTTATGACACACGATTGAGACATTCACTCGTGATAAAGCCGAAATGGAGGAAGTAAAATTGGAAGTTGAAAATGTCGTTGTGGACTTGCGAAGGGAATTGAGTAAACTGAACGAAGCTATGACATCTGAATCGAGCGTGGCTGAGAACGGGAGAAATGAGGAGTTGGTATCTCAAATAGGCTGTTCTCGAGAAGCTCCAAATGAAGTCTCATCAGAAAAGGACAAGCTCAGTTTGGCGCTCGAGGATAAGGAGAGGAAATTGAAGAAATCATGACTGAGCTCGAGAAAACGAAAGAGGCCCAAGTGGAATCATGGAATAGAGCATTTTAAGTTTATCTAAAAGTTTTGTTGGGAAAAAACTTAAAAGAAAAAAAGTATGTTTCTAATTGTGTTAATTTTAGTAAGGTTTTTGAAATTGAGTCGGAAGAATAAAAAAAGGGCAAAGAAAAAAAACAATAATGATTTTAGGAGGGAGGGTCATGGGATAGCCAATTTTAGATTTTAGAAAACCTATCCTAAGTAGAGCAACAAGAAAGCAAAGAGTGAGAAGAGTTCACCGTGTAATAGAAAAGGGTTTTTCAGAATTTCTTGTCTCCCTTATCTCTCCCCTCTCGACATCTTCTTCACAGCCTGTGAGTGTTATTTTAACAAGTTAGTTTCAGAGCGAACTTTTATTTCTACAAATTGGTATTAGAGTGGATTGTTATTTTCTACAAATTGGTATCAAAGCGAATTTTATTTCAACCGTATCATACATGCTCATATCGTATCCTATATCATATCACAACATGTTTCGTACTGTCAATCATATTACATCATAACATATATATCATATCACGAACATGTTGTCAGGCATATGATATCATATATCATATCATTCACATATCATATCGAAAACATATCATTTCATAACCTTTGATATGGAAATCAACCCAAGGGAAAGTATGGAACGGATTACCTTGATGATCAAGATCAAGAGTAAAGAAAACTCGTTTCTAAACTCGTGATTCGAATCACTTCACAAGAGGTTTGATCAATATCACCTAATGACTCTACATGCACGTTCTAAACACAAGAATTTGCGAAGAAAGCAACAAAGATAAAATAGAAATTCTATTCTTAATTCCAAAATCTGACCACTTAATGACTCTACATGCAAGTTCTAAACACAAGAATTTGCAAAGAGAGCAATAAAGCTAAAATAGAAATTTCATTCTTAATTCCAAAATCGGATGTGAATACAAGAAAAGCAATACAGCTAAAATAGAAATTTTATTCTTAATTCCAAAATTTAATGTCTAATAAAAGAAAAGAGGCTTTATATAGCCTTTACAACCTTAACCTATGTGAAACAACTCCCAACCGATCTGATACATATGATAAACTCCCAACCTATATGATACATAACTCTCAAATTAAATGGGCTAGTAGATGAGAAATAACCTCCATATCCCAAATTAAATGGCTAGTAAAGTAAATGAGAAATATCTATAACCTTGATATTAAAATAGCTAGTTAGTAAATGAGAGTAAATGAGAAATACCCATAACTTCCATATTAAAATGGTTAGTTAATGGTGGAATAGAGTAACCTAGTGTGTTATAATATAATTATAACTCCTATATTTAAAACTAGCTTAAATATTACAAACAAATAGTTAAACTATAATTAAATAATGTAATTAATAAAATGTGCTTATTAGTCACCTTTGACTAATTTCATAAATTTAGCGGACTATAATTAAATAATGCAATTAATAAAATGTGCTTATTAGTCACCTTTGACTAGTTTCATAAATTCAGCTGAGTTCATTAAATGCAATTTAAAGTACATTTAATCATTTCTTTCATGAAGCTCAACTTTGCATAACATATAACGGAGGTTCCCAACGTCTTCTAGAATTTCCTTTGATAAGCTCACCCTAACTTGAATATAACTGTATAAGATTTGTTGTAGCTTCTTGACTCTCGTCCTTGTAATTGGACCTTGAGGTATGGAACTTCGTTGGTCGTGGTTCATATCAACCTTTCACATATAACAAGCATATGATACGTGTCAAGCCACAGGGCATGTTTCATCATACAACATATAAGTTCTAACTCCATAAACACAGTTGGGGCGTTGGTGAGGCCAAATGACATCACTACAAACTCGTAGTGACAATACCTTGTTCCAACTCTTCGATGCGAGTGAGTGGGTACTTATTTTTTACTATTCTCTTGTTTGACTCCCTATAATCAACACATGGGCACATCGAGTCATCCTTTTTCACAAACAACACCAACACACCCCAAGGGGGTATGCTAGAAGAGATGAAACTTTTATCTAGTAAAGCTTATAATTGTACTTTTAAGTTCCTTTAGCTCGGTTGGTGACATGCAATATAGTACTTTATAGATGGGCCCAATTCCTAGTTTGAGTTTTATCCTAAAGTTTACGACTCGAGTAGGAGGAACTCTTGGTAAATCCTCTAAGAAGACGTCCAGGAATTCATTTACTATTGATACCGTATCCATAGCCTTCTCTTTCCCTTTTACATCCACTACACAAGGTTCACCCTCCTTGTTGTACTAGTTTTTTGACTTTCATCATCGACACTATCTTGGGAGTGACACCCGTACAGGTTTCCTTGAACTTGAAGTTGGGTTAAGTTGGCAACGAGAATACTACCTCCTTCTTGTGACAATCTATACTGACATAATTCTCGACTAACCAATTCATTCATAATATGATGTCAAAGTTCGCCATACCCACTACTTTCAAGTCTACGCTTATGGTTCGTTCGACTAATATTACTTGTCTATCTTTTATCTTATTTTTAGTAACTTGATCTACCCCGCTGGACTCCCTTGGTTCATATGGTCGCTTCCTTTTGTCAATGACCATTGATTGAAGCAAATTTTGAGTTCTTTCCTCAGTCTGCAACTCAATCCAAAATGAGTTTTCTCCCCTTTATTGGGCAGCTCGACTTAGGTCGAATTAGGCTTTGACTTCTTCATCAAACATACTTCATTTAGTCTCCTCAAACTATTGGAATCATTAAGTTTGGACATTAAGGACAGCAAGCAAAAATTCGAGTTTTACCCCCAAATCTTACCCGATATGAAATTTCTTCGATTACGCACTTTCCCAAGGTCGTCTCTCTTTGCGACCTTCTTCGAAAATTATCCATAAAGTAATTATCTCAAACATTAATTATCCAATAGACATTAATTATCTCAACCTTCTTAGAACTCGGACTGTTTTTTTTTTTTTTTTACTGACCCAAAATGACATTGAGCTATCTACCAACCAAGACGGGAAACCCTCCTCGTCTCCACCCATTTTTCATTCATCATTCCTGCAAAAATACTTCATTCATCACCCGTAAAATAATTCATTCATTTTTTTTTCCATGTGTTTTATTTTTAAAAAATGGTTTTTCCAAAGAAATATTTGGAATGCACAAATTTTACAACATAATTTTTATTAAAAAAATATATACCAAAATCTAAAAAGTCATGGAAATGTAATGGTAAGAAACATAAAGTATAAAAATAATAATAATTTATTATAATTTGTAAAAAAGTGGGGATCGAGAATTGAGTGTCCGTTTTTAGGCTCGTTTATGTGACAAGAAGATATCTCTCCTTATTCCCTGTTTAAATGAAAATTCTCCACTACATTCGGAGCGGATCCTCACAAACTCCAATCTCACATAATAAATAGTATCTCTAAATGGGATATCCTTTTTAAGTCCACTCTTAAAGTTGGTGTCCACGCTATTAAGCTAGTGTGAATATGTGCAATAATTAGTAGAGAAAAATGGTGGGTTGTAGAGGGCTTTGCAGGGTCAACTATTGTTCACCAAATATGAAGAAGATTCATCACATCATATAGTCCATGTCAACTGCTACTTCAAATCATCGAGGCACGGAAAATATCTCATTAACTTGCTAATTCTACCCTCCTCACGTGTATGCTTGGGGCATTCTTTCTTTTTCTTCTTCGGGTATGCATTTCTGTTCTTTTTCGAGCATCATTTTGTTATAATAGATGAGATTCGGGACTTCAAAAAATGACCTGTAACGACCCAAATTTTCTACTGACCTAGAGTCGCTACCATATGCCTGATCTAGAATCGCGACTATATGTCTGACGTAACTTCATAAAACAATCTCATGGACTTATACATTTATGAAAAGTTCTTAACTGCATAAGGTAAAAAATTCCAAGAATAAAAGTAAGGAAAATATTAAAAAAGTGTCATATACTAACCTAAAATCTATGAAAATAAGTGCAATTATATTATACAGGTTTCATACTCTTTCGTGTGATGTCGCCGTCAACCTTACAAGAGTGCACTTTACTTGAAATATAAAAGTAGAATATGACTCGAGTATTTTAAGAAATACTCAATAAGTGACTCCACTGTTGTAGCCTAGGAATGAAAACACATGCAATCACGGGACCTATCATTTAAACTCATAATCTCTTAGGTGGCTTTCAATCCAAACAAATTGGATGTGTAGTACTTTCCTACACACGACCTACACGACCTACACGTGCGAACGTGAGCCCACCAGGTAGGCTCGCACACCCCCTAAGATTGCATGGTTGGGCTAGTTGGCTGTAGCTAAACATCTGAAAGTACAATGGTCGTCGTGTATCATACCAAGCATGATAGTCATCATTATCATCATAGTATACGTGTCTGAACTTGCATCATAAAAGGGAAAGTATCCCAATATAAATGAATATACAATATGCATGAGATCCCTATACTTTTTATCTTTAACATTCATGCGGCCCATCCCCACACATTATTCACATATTACCGTATTACCCTAGATAACATGCATAATCTTTCATACATTCATCATTCATAATATTACTTACGGGTTGTGCATTAGAAAACTCTTCATTGTCATACATGTCGTAGCATGTCATATAATAGTGCAACATAACATCTTATACATGTCTATCATTGTAACATGAGATAATGTCATAATATATCATATTGTCATACATCTCATGTCATCATAGCATATCATACCATCATAACATATTACATCATCATAATATATCATGGCATCATAACATATCACAGCATCATAACATATCATATCATCATACATGATATGTATAAGGGTCATTGGGCATGTGTCATTATACATAAGACAAGTCTTCCGGCCGAACCAATAATAGGGTCACTTAGTTGGCAGAGTGAAACTACTACACCTATTGATGCTAGCTTAACACTGCTATCTAAAACTTATTTTATTTAAGAAGTCTACCATCGTAAATTAGAATTCTGGAACTCATCTAGTTTTGCATAAAACAATTTAAACTTACTTCTAACTTGACTCCAAAATTTAAAATAGTTGAAAGAGTTGAAATTAGTAGAAAATAGTTCGAATCTATCCAACTCAAACTAGATCAGTCAAAATAGTGCGTTCGAGATTGCATCTTCAAAACAAACATCTAAAAATGCGTACATCGGAGATGCAATCAAGACGTAATTAACTTCACACAAGATTCTACAAACTAGAGAGCCTTTTCACAAGGTGAAATATGCTTGAAATTAACACTAATAAGAATTTTTTATGATATGATCTATTTATTTACTTCCTTTTTCCCTTCTCTCTCCTCATCACACCTTTCTTCTCTATTTGTTCACCCATTCTCTTCTTTTTTCTCTCTCTATCTCTCTACTTAACCCACAACCATATTTTGAAATTTTGTACCCTTTGAAAAGGACTGAGTTGAGAATTTGGAGAGAGTTTCGGGTCTATAAAATCAACTGTCGAGCAAAAAAAAAAGTCTTTCATTATTATCAATTGAATGATAGGACTCTAAGATACCTAATACTATTAAATTGCTCTTTTAAAAGAACCATGACATTGAATGAATTGAAAAAAAAAATGCTCGAATAAAGAAGCTAAATTAAGAATTAAGAAACGAAAGTAAAAGAGTATACATCAAGGTAAAGAAGGTAACTACAATGGGCATGTCGATAAACTCCTCATTTAGCAACATCGATTGACATGTCAACAAGATTTTTTCTTGGATGCTTGATTGGCCAAATTGTGAACATCAAGCAGCGTAGTGTTATTACATTTGGGACACTTGAGATCGAACTTCGACGACATGACGTACATGAGGCATTGAGTACATCCCAGTAGCACCATGACTGATGTCGTAGCGTCCTCGGTTTTTGAGCTAGATCCTGCCAACAACAAATCTTGCAGTATGGGTTCTGACTTCAGATTGTTGAAGTTTCGACCCATAATTTAAAGTTCTTCAATAGAAAAACGGAGAAGAAGAAGAAGAAGGAAGAAATGAACAATCAAATCTTGTACTTACAATAGGAAGCTGTATATGATTTATAAGAGATCAAAGACGGCCAAACATGGAGTATACAATTCACAATGTCTAAATTATCATTTAATACAAAGTTTGAACATTGACCTTTGAGTTTTGCCGGTAGGAATATCCAATTTGGTTTTGAAAATCAACTCATTAACTCCTTTGATATGGATACAATATGACTTCTGATTCACAAGTTTATGATATGACTTGTCAACAATATCAAGTTCAGTCACCTACACCAATAATAATGAATTATGATAGGCCTCTCTATGCTTCCTTCAAATGTGAGGTTTTTAAGTGTCTCCAAAAGGCGAATAGCCAACTCCTCCCCCAAACTAGTCGTATGAGGTGGGGTGGGTAAGCAGGTTTGGATATTTTCAACAGCGGGCATCGACCAGCTTTGCGATGGCAATCGTTAAAAAAATGGTTAACTATCGATTCATTGAATTCCAAGTTGGATGAATCCAGTGCAAGACTAATCCATTACATAATTGAAAGTTCAAGGACTATAAAACACAGAAACAACAACAAAACATATTCAAAATGTTTGGAAAGGAAAAAACAAACGACTAGAAACGTATCAAATTCATTTGTTGGAAAAATATTATATCATTAAATTAATTGAGTTTGAATTTTTAAAAGTTGTACAACTCTTCTCACTCTCCACACCATAAAATGGTTTCTTTCATCAACAAACTCGTCTTATCAATTTATACATTTAATTTTTCTTGTTTGGTACCAGATTGGTACCAGACTTGTATAGATATGAACATCAACCTCTAGCTTGGACCATGGTAAGAGACGTGGTATTATTGAACAAGAGAAGAGCATCTTTTGGCCACAAAGATGCGTGCAAGCATTCCTCATCGAAGCAAAGTTGGTTAGGTGTGTTAATAAGCAATTAAGTGAGTGTTTGTGGTATGAGTTCGTTGAGGAGCTTCGTTCAATTTTTGGGTTCTAACAAAGAACAGAACCATTCCACATTCCATAGGCTGATGATAAGATCGAAAGGTCTGCTTTAAATGATTTGCTCCCTACTTTATTACACCAATTATTATGCCATTTGGCGTGCTAGGCAAGAATTTATGTCCAATGTCTTGACATCTAAATCACATGTTTCAAAATGACATTAAAATGCAACAATATGCAACAATAAAACAAAACATGTTGGGAGGTTCATGCATCCTACTTCTTTTGTTGTTTTAAGAGATAAGGGATGTCAAATTCAGCATGACCAACCGAATAGGTTCCGAATAGAAAAGATAAGAAACCGAGGTTAATGAAGATTTGGTAAAGGAGAAAAAATGAGATATTTGGAATAAACTGGATATGCATTTAAGGAAAATATTGCTTCGAGACTCAAAAATAGGTCACTCATTTGCTCCTATGGCTTACTTCCGGCAAGGTCAGACCCCTATGGAAAGTCTAGGATTCAAGGCCTAAACGTCCTTCTAGAAGATCTCTTAATTGTTCCAGAGCAACTTGAAAGAGATTCTTTAACCAAAAAGAATTCCGTTCAGACGTGGAATACCTATCCAGAAGTTTTCAAAAACGAAAACAACCATTGGAAAAGAAATCTGCATATATACGTCTTAACAAATGATAACTTGATTTACTTGCTTTCGACGAAGATGCTGCAACTTCGAGCAGCTGCGTCATCAGGCTTCATCCATTGCTCTCCTTGTTATCTCGACACAAGGATTCTCACATGAACCACGAAACAAAAATGTGATGTCAAAGCCAGAGATTCAAGATGAATTTGACCATTAAGAACATAACTATCAACTATCATCCATAGAACAATAACATTTACATATTTGTCCTCAATTTAATCCATAAAGGTTAAGTATTTCAGACCTCCTTTGTTCTTTTTCGAGCCAAAAATCGCTCTTTTGCAGCAGCGACAGCATCTTCACTTCTTTTATGATGATCACGCTTTGGTTGTTGTTCACCTTGGTCATGTTCGGGCTGTTTCTCAACTGGAGTTTTATTGTGTAATGGAGGGGGGCTAGTACCTCGTACATCAGACGGTGTTGTTTTGTTTGAATTCGAAAGGTGCTCTTCGAGGTGACGATCCTGTTCTATAGTCTTTGCTGACTGGGAAGGCGAGCTGGGGTATTTCGGTGACTGATGATCATTAACAATATCGGCATTAGCACTCTCTCCATGCTTCTTCATTTTCTGGACATCAGCCTGCTTCTCTGATTGAAGCTTCTGTGGAGGTTCCCTCGGCTCGACTGCATTACCGGCACCGTAGGCAATATTCTTTTGAAGGTTGAAGTAAAAGTCGCTAATGTCGCTCTTCTTGGTAACCTTCAAATTAGAAGGAAAAGAACAATCAGACAATTGACTGTCAATGAAAAACACACATTAACGAAAGCGTAAAGCAATTCTTTAAGGTAACCCAAGAACAAGATATGGATTGCTCTAATGACCCAAGCCCACCGCTAATAGATATTGTCCTCTTTAGACTTTTCCTTTCGGGTTTCCCCTCAAGGTTTATAAAACCCGTCTGCTAGGGAGAGATTTCCACACCATTATAAAGAATGTTTCAATGTTCCTAACAAGGATCCTAAATCATTTTATGATTACATTACGACCCTTATTAGTGGTGGCATATTAGGACCCTTGTTAGGTTCAATGTTACTCATTCAGTCACAAATAACTTATACTCGCTCATTTTGTCACAGAGGGCATTTAGCAAAGTATAATAACTTATAAAACTATAAAACGAAAAGAAAAAGAAACAGAGTGCAAAGTTAAACATACATCATCTTTCTCCTCTCGAAGTTGTCGGAGACGTTCTTCCTCCATCCACTTAGCTTGTTCTGCAAGTTTCTTTTTGTAGGCACTAGTGACGAATTTGTCCTTACCAGCATAAAGATGATCATCTTTGCTTCTCTCCTTGGCTAGTTTTCTTTCATATATAACCTCCTGTTCTCTCTCTCGCTCTTTTGCCTTCTTCATCAAATTTTGAATATACTTTGGCTGCAATAAAAAATGCAGTGAGCAAATAAGTAATTTCACCACACTGGCAGAGCATTACATTAGGGTGATACTGTATTTTTACACAAGTTTGGGATCAAATTATAAACATACCTTTCGCTCTTCACGATCATATGCTCGAGGTAGAACAGCCTTTTCTTTCATTTCATCATAGACTCCATCGTAATCGAAAACCGACGGATCTTCCGCTAGTGCTTTCTTGTGTTGCTCCTCGATCTAAATTGATATTTCAAGGGAGAAAAATAAAATTAAGGGTAGCATACAACCACGATATTGTTGTTAATGACACAGTCATATACAAGCTAGCTTACATCCTTAAGTGCCTTATTCTTGGAAGCTTGTCGGGATATCTCTCTCTCAACATCATCGTCGTCGTCGTCTTGAAATCCAAGAGGAGCAGGAAGGGGCGGTCTTGTAGGCTGTTTCTGCTGTGATGGCTTAACTCTAAGTTGTAGGCCGTACTTGCTCATTTTTAATGTCTTCTAACTGTTCCTGTGAAGATTTGAATGTACCTCATTGATGCATAAAACATACAAAATTCTTCCATATGCATAAAACACCAATTCTCTACCAGGAAAGATAAAACAAAATAAAAATACTTTTCAAGGTCCTGAATGATTGTATGAACACAATGGCCTAAATCTTAAACATTGGCTAGAATCCTCGTCAGCTGCTAAATATGGGCAGAAAATGTAAAGCAGCTATGAGGAAAATAAATTTTCAGAATATTGGCCAACAATGAACAAACGGTAAAATAGCCTTCATGACTTGGTTTACAAGAAAAATGGAAAGAAAAAAAAAGGCGAATAAATAAATTGTAGCACTTAACTTGGGTCAAGGTCAACCAGACCTCACTGTAGGTGTTAGCTTAGTGTATTGTATGATGGTGCATGCTCTATGACTTTTGATGTACCATAGAAATGTCTATGTTAGGCAATATTTATGTATTCTTGTATTGATAAGAGATTTGCTACGTATGCCTGTAATCCATTAACCTATTTTCATGAAATGAATTGAAAAATGTTGTCATGCATACATGTTCCATAAATGAGTTATAATATGAAATGCTAAGACTAATGAAAGGTATTAAGTATTATGTCGTGAAATGTAAATCATGGGATCTCATGCATGTTTGTATATCATGTGCATCGAGATATTTCCCCTTTATATTATGATAGTATAGACGCACGTTTGATATTTATGTCTGTAATGAAATCATGTGGGCCTTTGCTTTTTTGTGGCGTCCAGTGACATGTAATGAATTGTGCAAATTGTGGTGGACGCGTTGCATTATGATAGTAATGTGTTATGATAGTACAGCTGCTCTGGTGGACGTATTGCAAACTGTTATACAAAACCTGACTGCTAATCAACAAGCAAATGACACATCATCGACCAAGGAAGTAAGGAGCTTGCATGATTTTAAGAGGGGTGACCCTCGAACCTTTAAGGGAACTTCTAATGATCCGACTGTGGCACAAATGTGGCTTAGATATATAGAGACTATGTTTGTGTTGACTAACTATCCTGAAGATTAGAAGGTGGAGTGAATGCTGCAAGATGATGCAGAACTATGGTGGCAATCCACCCGCGAGATTATTAGTCCCGAGGGAGGTGCAATCTTGTGGGCGAAATTCAAGGGTGCTTTTAATGAAGAGTACTACCAAGAGGACGTTCAACTTCGCAAGCAGCAAGAGTTCACCTAATTGTGTCAAAGGGGGCGTTTTGTTACCACATACGCCGGAGAGTTTTCCAAGTTGAACCATTTCACCTCAGAGTTGGTGGACACTGACTACAGAATAGCACGGCAGTTTGTGTTGGGTTTAGACAGGGTTGTATGTGCTGATGGACACTGACAAGCTATGTTTGTCACCACCAATCAGAAGCTATCGGCAATGGAAGAAGGAGGATGATGTGAGAAGGAGGGAGAAAGAAAAGAGAAGAGAAGGGAGAGAAGAAAAAAGAAAATTAAAATTTGGACGGAAGAACTAAAATGCAACTAAATCCAAAACTCATGGACTAAATTGTTGAGTTTGAAAACTCAGGTATCTAAATGCACCGAACTTAGCACCAAACTCAAACCTGAGATACCAAAAGTGTATTTTTCTCTCTTAGCTTCAACTTGCTCAGGTTGAGGTCCCTCTAAGTTGCTTTGGAATATTTTCCCTTTATTCTTTTTTCTTTTCTTAATCAAGTTTTCAGTACAATTTCTATTTCAATCCTTTGTTCCAATCAAGTTAGCCAGATAAGTTTGATATGGGTTCAGGGACTAGAAGAACACAGGTGGAATTAGAAAAAACTTGGTGGAGATGATGACTGGACTTGCAAAATTGAAATTGAAGAGAACAGAGAAAATGAAATTGAAATCCAGGGCAATGGGACAAGTGCAAAAAGATAAGAAAAGGAATAATCAAATCGAAGAGATTAAGAACAGAAAAGGATTGCACGCAAAAAGAACATGTGAAACGGAAAACAACCAATAAGATGGAAAGAAATGAGAACTGAAGGAAGTGTAAAATCCGAATCGAGTTGAACACAAAACCAAACGGGATAGAACAAGCATGCTCAAACTCAAGTGGGTTTAATCATGAAGGGCATGTTTGAGACTCATTGTAGTACAAGTGATTTTATAAAAAGAGATCTAATTACAATTGGTTTTGTAAAGTAATTTTCATATAGCCATTTGAATGTTTGGTTTGAAGTGATTTACATATAATATTTGCTAAACAACTTAAATTAACTATTCACACCAGAATTATGATAGTATATATATATATAGCTAAATGAACAATTCACAAAAAACAGAAGCAAAAGTAGAAAGAGAAGTAAGATTATTGATCAGAGTAGGATGAGAAGGAAACAAAATGGTAGAAGATTACTGATCTTATCACAATCAAAACAATGACAACCAAAGAAAAGCTCCCTAGAAATATAATGGTAGCCAAAAGCTTCCAACTAACAATGCTCCAGCAAGGATTTTCATATACACAATTAACAAAAAAAAGCCCCATCAGTACGATCAAAATCGAAAACAGAAAAGCTTCACAAATGAAGGCAAACTCCAACAATGCAATACCACATGAAGAGCACAGACAAAAACACACCATCACACCAAAGAAACAAAACTTACTGCCGTCGAATTCCAGAAATACACCACCCAATCATAAGTAAGAAAAGCAAACAACACACCATTGGCAACCTAATCAATGAAGCAATTACGGAACAAATCAAAAACCTAGTTCAAAACGAAACACAAATCAAAACCACCAGTCAAAATTACATAAACAAATTGAAAACCTAATTCAAAATTAAGAATAATGCAAACAGTTCACAATCAATGTGGAAACCACACGTCCAAAACTCAAACAAGGATGAAGCTAACAACTACCAGCGAAAACCAACGAAATGATCAGCAGAACGAGAGAAAAAGCGGCCGGAAATGAAAGAGTCCTCTGAAGATGCTACAATGGTGAGAGAAAGCGGAACAAATCGAAAGCAAAGAAATTATTCAGGGCTGAGAATCGTGTTCTTAAATTAGGGGCAAGCTGAATTAGAATCCAGATAAGTTCTGGAGCTGATTTCAGGTTAGTCACCCTAGCAAAAATCATCTACCAACTAACACTTCAAAAATCAATTTCATCCTCTGCGCAATTGCAAAAGTGATTTTGGCAATTCCAAACAGGTCCGAAGTCAATTGAAGCGTATATTCGAGTGAGAAATCGGATAAAGCCATTGAGGAGCAAAATCGGTTGCAATGAAACCAGACGATTGAATTCAAAATATAGCAAAACAAGAAAGATTGAAAGACAGATGGGAATTAAGAAGAATACCTGAGATCCAGATATGAAAAAGGGTGCAGAACCGCAGTGCCTGACCCGAAGGAGGGGGAGCCGCCGTGAAACTGAGGGAGGAATTTTTTTTCTTTTTCTTTTTATTTTAAATGAAAACGATTTGGGCCGGGCCGCATGGGATACGACGAATTGGGCTGGTAAGGCTTCTTTGATTCATTGTTTTATCACAATTTGGGTCTTTTTTATATATATATCGTATTTAATATTTTATTATATGATTCTCGTAATTTATTTAATTATAAATAAAAAAAATTATTTGATTATAAATAGAGAACTTTCCCCCACTATTTAGTAATGGTAATTTTAGCAAATATTCTCACCTCCGTATAAATAAGTCTCTCTCACGAAAAATAAAAATATATTTTTTTTTATTTTAGAATGGAGTAACCACTACTTGAGTAAGTGCTAATATTTATTTGTCTTTAGTTACATGTAAAAGCTGACCTATATTATAATATTACAATTTTCGCTCGTTGTTCTGACTATATTGATAAAAAAATTTGTTTGATTGAATGATTATAGATAAATTTGTGTTTGTTTATGAACTTTTAATATCTTTTAATCATGTATAAAGCTTTTTTAAAAAATAAATTTTTTCCAAGGACCCGAAAATAGAGAATTCTGTTGAATTGCAAAACAATTTTGAGTTGGGTTAAACTACCAATCCAAGGAACCCAACTTTTAGGTTGGTCTAAAAAGTTATCTCAAAATCTAATCCAATTTAGCCACTTAAACTCGATTGAGGTACACCGGAATCTATGATGTGTGTATACATTATAAAAAGTATTCGATTTAAAGAATTTAGAACTATAATTCTAATAAATCTCGTTGATTTTGGCAACTACATAAAGACTTATATGGGTCGTGGAAAAGGAGATACAAGACGTGGACTCTTGCGACCTCAAATATCGACATAACAACCTTGAACGAACCGAAACTTCATCGCTGGTCCAAATGCAATCCCATTCTTTGGATCGCCGAACTTTATATACGCCGGACAGTTGGCGTTCAGCCGATACCTGTCTGAGATCCAGCTCCCAACCTTCCACCTAACCTGTTTCTCAAAACAAAATATCTTAATGTTCAGATCGAAAGTATACTGCAACAATTAAAAATAAAAAATAAAAAAAAATACTGATTACAACTATATATTATACTGAACAAAACCTGTCCATTGATCTTGATATTGAACAGCATGGCTCCAACATTATTATCCTCATTCAAAGCTTCAGCAAACTCGGGTGCCACCGGCACAGCTTCGCCGTACAAAAATGGAGACCAAACGGTGACATCATTGTGGCCCTGGTAAGTCGGCGGCAAGAGCGTCGGGAGAGTGACCTGCTGGCCGCGGTAGGCGGCGTAAACATCCATGATTTGGTAGTAAACACCGATGCGGGAGTTGGGGTTGTGGGAGGAGATGGTGACCTGCATGGTGGTCGAGATGGCAGCCGGTGGCACCGAGGAGACGTTCAGGCCGAAAACCGTGACGTCTTGGAGAATGAGGCGGGGCTTGGATGGCCGGAGGATAGCCCAGATGAGGAAGATGACTAGGCTAATCAAGAGGATGACGGTGAAGATGGCGCAGGCTATTCTGCGGTAGAGACGGCGGCGCTCGCAGTCGTGGTGGTGGTGGTGGTCGCAGTCCTTTACCGTCATTGTTGAGTGAGAAAGAAAGGGATATATTTTGGCTTCACAAACAAGATAGATTTATAGTAGGTGAAAGTGAAGTACATTATTCAATAATTGGATTATTATTTTTTCATTTAATCATATTATCACTCTTTTTAATTTTTTTTAAAAAGTAAATTGCAAATCAAGAGATATATTTAAATTATGTTCCATAAAATGTATTTTGATTGGTTGAGTTGGATTATATCTGAATCAAAGTCTGGTAGAGATGTGCTCGAAACATCTAGTAGGTTTATATCAGTGTCAGGAAGAGGTATACTTGGAGGGCTAGTAGGTTATCTGATGTCCAGTAGATTTGTATTAGTGTTATGAAAAGGTATGCTTGAAGGGTCTAGTAGGTTACGTGGGTCTAGTAGATTTGTATCAATGTCGGGAAGAGGCAAGCTCGGAAGGTCGTTTAGTTGTTTCGTTACCTGATCATTGACTGTATTTCGTTTCATAAAGCCAGAGATTCAAATTCTCGTACCTTCGTCCTATTAAGATAAAAAACATAAACAATCGATAGAAAACTTAAAGAGCAATATAGGTAGTTATGAGTAGGTGAGTTTGGTAGGGTAAGGGATAGGAGTTGGTTCATTTCCTTGCTTTGAAGAAATGTGAGTGAGGTAATCATATGGTTACAAAAGGAGAATTATTAATGTCATTTCCAACCTCCTCCTTCCTCTCTAACTTCTAAAGTTCTCCTATGACTTCACTTGTAAACCTAATCATGTATCGGGATTTCGATTTCGATTTCGATTTTTATTCCGCTATTATTATTGATATTAATGGGAACACGAGTACATAACTAATATGTGAAAAAAAACTATCTAAACTTTCATTCTATGACCTTCTCGATAGAAGTTGCCATCTGTGTATAGGCCCTTTGACTTTACTAGAAAAAAAAAGTTGATAATAAGATGTTGATTTAAATTGTGTCGTCGGGTTGGAATTGGAAGATGCAAAAATATGTAACTATGGTTTCATGTTAAATGAGACTTAAATCGTGTATATAGTCTTGAGAAATAATTTCGTTCTCATATGGTTGATGCAATATACTTCTCTACACGAGTCTCACACACGTACACGTAAACCCTACACCAACATTTGAGCTTCAAGAAGCAGACCATTCAGGGCATAGGGTTGGTTCCAAACCTAGCTAGGCTCAGAATCTGCAAGCCCAGCCACGCACCTACGCCCCAAATCGACTCACATGCGGCCCAGCTTGCTTCCAAAGCCTACAGTCCAGCCACCTCACATCTTAGTCGAGTCTTCAACCCAACTCCCAAATTCAGTTCGACCCACTCGACTCGGTTCTGTTCACTCAGCCCTAAGCTGACCCTCAACCGAACCTACCCAAGACCCGCACGTCGACCTGCCTTCTGACCCATGACGGCTCCCGTGTTCTGGCTCAACCCTGTTAGACGAACACGACTCTCCACAATGGTATGATATTGTCCACTTTGAGCGTAAGCTCTCATGGCTTTGCTTTGGGCTTCCCCAAAAGGCCTCAAACCAATGGAGAGTGTATTCTTAGATTATAAACCCATGACCATTCCCTAAATTAACCGATGTGGGACTTTCATCATCCAACAAACCCAACAACCCCTTAGTCGTGGCTCGTCCTCGACTCACCCTTGAGCACGCAGCTCCTGCTCTGGCTTGACGGCTCATCCAGCTTATTTGGCTTATTTTGAGTCCCCTTTGACATCTTTGGTCCTTGTCTTACCATTCTTTCTCTCTTGGAACCGATTTTGACTTTTTTAGAGGCGTTTAAGGTTAATATGACTATCAATTTCAATTATTTTTTTAGCCTAAAGTAGAGTTAATTGATCTTAATTTAAATGGCAAATTACACTTTCTAATTAGCATCAAGGATAAGATAGTAACGCGGACTTAGGCTAACCAAGTACTTGGCTCGACTCCTTTTTCTAAAGCCCTCGAACAAATTACACCCTTTGTCCGACACTTTGGTTACTTCTAACTACACTTTCGAGACTCACAATTATTTGTTTGATATTTGAGAATTCTATTGACATGGCTAAGTTTAAGGTATGCTCTAATACTATGTTAGATAAACACGACTCTCCACAATGGTATGATATTGTCCACTTTGAACGTAAGCTCTCATGGTTTTTCTTTGGGCTTTCCCAAAAAAACCTCGTACCAATGGAGAGAGTATTTCTTAATTATAAACTCAAGATCATTTTCTAAATTAGCCGATGTGAAACTTTCATCATCCAACATAAAGAGGTATTACACATCCAATTTTCACCTGGACTTGAAAATAAAGTTCAAACCATGATGAATTTATGAAATAATAGATTTCATCATGATTGCATGTGATTATATCTCCTGACCTCAATAGTGATGTTACTTGCTGAATACTTTTAAAATACTCAAGTCATGTGTTACTTTTTTTTTTCTTCTTCAAATAAAGCTAAGTACCCCTACAGGATGACAGTGTTGCTGTGAAGGCCAAGAAAGTGAAGTTGTGATATCTGTGCTTAGGGTTTGTAGCCCTTAGGTTAGATCTGAGCGACACTTTATATTATTTAAATTTATGTTATCTATTTGTTCGTTATGGTAATGATTCCAATATTGTTTTAAATGAATTTATTATAAACCTAAGTCCATGACATCGTTTATGAAATATTTTTTCGTATATATTAAGCATGTCATGCATATAGCGACATCTCTATTTTATTGAGAAAAATAGGATCTTTACATAAAAAAATCATGTTAGATAATCGAGTGAAGGACGAGATTATATTCTCCGTCTCCCTAAATTAATTAATTAATTTTGAGGATGAATTTGGATGTCACAATATTTGCTTCAACTTTTCGTGTTTTTGAGTTGCCATGCTCAAGTAGAGTGGGATGAAAGACGATAGAGAAGAAGTAACAAAAGATAAGGAAGAGAAAAGAAAAAGATGGAGATGAGAGAGATTTACAAAAGTGTTATCTACGGGAAAGGAATTCCCCATTTCTTAAACCTATTCTTCTCTTAATTCAAACATCTCCCGATTTCTCCACTGATTTCAAGCTTCTGCCATGGTTGATTCGCCGTCTCTTTCTACTTCCCACCGAATTGATGTGTTTTGGCACGAGGGGATGCTCAATCACGACACTGGCTATGGCGTATTCGACACCGGAGAGGATCCAGGTTTTCTCGACGTGTTGGATAAGCACCCAGAAAACTCTGACCGGATTAAGAACATGGTTTCGATTCTCAAAAGAGGACCTATCTCTCCTTTCATCTCTTGGCATTCCGGACGACGCGCACTCCTTTCTGAATTGCTGTCTTTCCACGATCCAGGTGCTTCTTATTTCAATTTATTATTGGGAGATTTTGCTTTCCTGTTGATTCATGGGCTGAAATTTTAGAAAACTCTGTTGTGTTCTTGCATAGTTGTTTAGATCTGAATGAAACCAATTGAGTCCTCGATGTCACCTGGAAATCAATTTAACGGAGAGTTTGTTTTTCCCTTTTTGGATTAAACAGTAGGGTTCTTGAATACGGAAGAAATATGTTGAGGATGGTTGGGAGGGAGTCCCACGCTGGCTAATTTAGAAAATATGAGTTTATAAGACTATCTCCATTGTATGAGGTCTTATGGGGAAACCAAAAGCAAAATAATGAGAGTTGATGCTCAAAGTAGACAATATCATACTATTGTGGAGAGTCGTTATTCCTAACATGATATTAGAGTCATGCCCTTAAATTAACAATGTCAATAGAATCCTCAAATGTCGAACAAAGAAGTTGTGAGCCTCGAAGGTGTAGTCAAAAGTGACTCAAGTGTCGAACAAAGGGTATATTTTGTTCGAGAACTCCAAAGGAATCGAGCCTCGATTAAGGAGAGGTTGTTCGAGGGATCCATAGGTCTCAAGGGAGACTTTATAGTGTACTTTGTTCGAGGGGAGGATTGTTGAAGATTGTTGGGAGGGAGTTCCACATTGGCTAATTTAGGGAATGGTCATGGGTTTATAAGTAAGGAATACATTGGTATGAGGCTTTTTGGAGAAATCAAAAGCAAAACCATGAGAGCTATTGTTCAAAGTGGACAATATCATACCATTGTGGAGAGTCGTTGTTCCTAACAATATAGGCAGGTAATTTCTACCGCTAAATCAAGTAAAAACATTGTTGAATGCTGTGCTTATAGTTTCGCTCATTTTTCCAGACTATGTAAATGAGCTAATTGAAGCTGATAAAAAAGGAGGGAAGGTTATGTGTTGTGGAACATTTTTGAATCCAGGCTCTTGGGATGCCTCACTTCTTGCTGCTGGTACTACGCTATCAGCAATGAAGCATGTCCTTGACGGGCAGGGGAAGATTGCTTACGCACTGGTTAGGCCTCCTGGACACCATGCTCAGCCAACTCAAGCCGACGGCTACTGCTTCTTGAACAATGCTGGTCTTGCCGTTCAATTAGCCTTAAATTCTGGCTGTGAAAAGGTTGCAGTTGTGGACATTGATGTTCACTATGGAAATGGAACTGCTGAAGGATTTTACACGTCCAACAAAGTTCTGACTATTTCACTTCATATGGATCATGGTTCCTGGGGTCCTTCCCATCCTCAAACTGGATCGATCGATGAGCTAGGTGAAGGACAGGGTTATGGCTACAATTTGAATATACCTCTGCCGAATGGAACAGGGAACCGTGGATATGAATACGCCATGAAAACGTTAGTTGTCCCAGCGGTGCAGAAGTTCGAACCAGACATGATTGTCTTGGTTGCAGGCCAAGATTCAAGTGCTGTAAGTCAGTTCATTTATTTACTTTCTTAAGATGATGAATTACTTTGTCAAATTTTTGTGACTATGTAGATAAATTGGGGGTCTACTTATTTAATAGACATAATTCCTAGTTCCAGTTGGTGTTGAATGTCTGGTTTAGTTTCCTACTTGAGTTAGGTTGCACAAGTAACTGAATGATGAATATATAGATGAAGAGTTGATAATTAGTTGTAGAGAACCCCTTTGGACATTGGAGATAATGTCAATGTGCAAACTGTGAAGATGCATGATTTTGAACCGGTTGTATGTTAAACACAACTCTTTGCGGGAAACACTTGCACTCTTTATTAACACCAATTGAAAAAAGATTACAGGATACTCTATAGAAACTACTACGCTCTAGGAATAAATGGTTAAATATTTTAAGAATAGATTATGTAGCCTCGACTATGAAATCCAAAGCATAGAGTGCAGTAGTTTCGACAGAGCATTTTGTAATCTCTTCTCGATTGGTGTTAATAAAGAGTGCGAGTGTTTTCCACAAAGAGTTTCAACATTGTGTGAAATTGTGACTGAAATATTGTAGACGGTTGGTGGTAATAACACTAATTATAGATATGGGTTGTGTAGTAAACTAGGTACTCTAATTGTGATCCTACTTATGCTCATGCTTTATGATAGTCTTGTTAGTAAATTTGGTTTACTTTATTGCGAAGAATCTCTCCTGCATTGAGTCTTAAATTGGCGTATCTAAGTGTAATCTTTCAATGAAATGGCGAAACGAAACAATGATCTATCTCAAAGAGAGGTGGATGCATATATTTGATTGTAGTGAACTGAATTTTTTACTTTCGAATTAGTTCGATCCAAACGGAAGGCAATGCTTGACGATGGATGGTTACCGGAGTATCGGGCAGATCATGTCGGAGCTAGCAAATAAGTACAGCAGCGGAAGCCTCCTTATAGTCCAAGAAGGAGGATACCATGTCACTTATTCAGCTTATTGTCTTAATGCAACACTTGAAGGGATACTCAACCTCTCGCCTCCTTCGATATCGGATCCTATTGGTTGTTACCCAGAAGACGAGGCGTTTTCTGTTAAGGTAATTGATTCCATTAAAAGGTATCAAGATGAAAATGTACCGTTCCTAAAAGTGTAGCATTGTCTTGGTTGATGCTTGTACTGTGGTTGGATAGAGATTTCTAAGTTTAGTTGACATAATCTTCCACATGGCGTCCAATGATCTAGAAAACAAACACATTTTGATGCATCAAAGTCACTTGTACTCTAAATATGATGTAAACAAGGATGAAGAGATGTGCAAATGGTTGAAGAAATGAGTCTTAGTTTGTAATGCACTTTGTTAGATCTTTTTATTAGGACAAATGCCTAAAGGGTTGGTCGTACGGAAATAAGTTAGTCGTATGGAAATTGTAAGTCACGGACAATTACGAGGTTATATGATCGTGTCTTGGTCACGTTTGAGAGAAAGTATTGTTTTAATATGACGAATAAGTTAGTCGTATGGAAACCATAAGTCACGGACAATTATGGATGTATGATTGAGTCTTGGTCACGTTTGAGAGAAAGTATTGTTTTAATATGACAAATAAGTTAGTCGTATGGAAATCGTAAGTCACAGACAATTATGGATGTATGATCGAGTCTTGGTCACGTTTGAGAGAAAGTATTTTAAAAAACGTGAGTGAGGAAATGCATTTGTAATAAAACAATGTCATATGCTAAAAGTAAAAGAGGTTCAGTACGGACATGTGACTTTGAACAACAGGTCTTGAACAAACATGACTGTGACACTAAGCATAAAGCTTGATACTTTGTTCGTTACAAAAACATTTATTGAATATGATCTATTTAAACTATTCCATAAATGATTTTTGTACAGGCTAGTTCATTCGTTTAAAGTATAAGACATTTAACATTACCATTTTCGAGGTTAATGGTTCAAATCTATCCATATTTGTTCACAAATCCACCAAAGTAATAAAGTGAATATTCTACCTTATTTAAAGATAAATAGCCAATTTTATAAATTTTAAATATGGAATTTATAATAAGGTATGATAAATCTTATAGTTTGTTTCTAATTTTATAAATTTTAAAGCTGGAATGATTTTGGTTGATCAAATATTTTAAGACAAGAATACTTGTTTGAGATTCAAATTACTTCACAATCAAGATTGATCATGTCAAGCTTGAATGATTCTAAATGTAACCTAAACTACATAGAATTGCAAATAAACTTAGTCATTGGCTGAAAAAAAGCACAAATGCTTCTTTTTTTTACCTATAAATACATGACTTTATATAGGCTTAATGAAACTCTTGACATTTCAAGAATTTGTTTCATACTCTATGACCATAATTAGCATGTAAATGTAATTAAATAAGAAGTCTTAAAATATATTAATGAAATACAATAACTATAAAGTACTCTAAATGGTAATCCACCCAAAATTTATAACATCGAGAGTTTCGAGTTTTCCGATAGGTTGATTTTACAAAGAGTCGACAAGGAATTTCATTAATAACCGGCCGTTTTGATTCTTTGGAACAACTCGATGAATTTAGTAGATCTTTTTAAGAGGAACAAATGACTTCCGATAAAACTTATCCTATTTTTGCAGTGCGATGGTTGGCTGTTCACAAACTAACTGTACCTACCGTTTCTTTTTTAAGGTCAATATCTGAAGGTTCATCCTTCTTCAATGCGGCATGAATTGAAATATCTTTTGTTAATTTCAACAACATTTTCTTCATATCTTCATTGAAATATATTGTATGATTGATGTCTCTTGGTTTATATCACATGGCCTTCTCTATCGCCATGTCTATGGCCACACCCACGACCTCTGTTTTCCTTGTTGTGGTCGTTGTTTTTTGTACCTGAAAAAGAAGAATCAACCACATTTTTTTTCATCTGTGTGAGTCACTTCTCATGTGAGTAAAAGATGTTTCTCCTCCTCTCTGTCATCTAGCCACAAAATCTCTCCTTATGGAGCTGAAGAAGACCAACGATCTGCTCAATCAACATGTTCTTGAGATCATCAAACTACTTGATTGAGATAACAATCTGTATGAATCTAGAGGGGACGAGTCGAAATAACTTCTTGACGACGGAGATCTCCTCCACCTTTTCGCCTAACGAACGGATAATACTGGTGACGATCATCATCAACTTCATGGCAAAGTCGTCTACTGACCCACTGCCTTTTATGCGAATGACCTCAAACTCACTTTTCAGAGTCTGCACCTTAGCACCATCGACCCTTTCTACATTCGTATACATTGTTTGGAGCGTCCCCCATGCGGCTTGTTTTGAATCCTTCTCTGCCAACACAAGAAAAGCATCGTCTGAGACTGCTTAGTAGATGGCAATAGGAGTCATCTTATCCTCACACACTTCGACGTTGTCACCATGCTCGATAACATCTCACACATCTTGTGTCTTAAATTACCACACATCTTTATCAACCATGCTGCATAGTTACTCTTCATGAGTAATGGGTATTGAAGCGTTACACTCCCCTCCTTTCTACTCTTTATCATTGTCACATCTCCTCTTCCGACTTTTTATGATGATATTTATTTTGACATTAAGATAATATATTTTTTAAAAAAATAAAAACAAAATCCACAAAACCCTAAAAATTATTTTTCGTATTAAAGACTCATAATAAATGTCAAATATAATAAATTTTAAAATTAACGAAAACAAAATAAACCCAAATCATAAAAGAATTTAAATGAAATATACTTAACATATAATTTTGCATTAAAGTCCATTGAAGGGACAGCTCACACGTGGGAGTGTTTGGCGGCGTGGAATTTGTTTTTCCATTTTGTGGATTAAATTTATTCCTACGAGGAATAGAATCATCCTCAATTAACGCCGACCTTTTGTTTTCCTTATTATTTTATTATCACTCGTGGGTCCCACTTTCTTTAAAATAATAACCACTAATTTTAAAATTACATAAAAAATAAAAATAAAAAAACGTAGAATTATCCGTTTATTAATAATTGATTAAAAAATTTGTAGATATTGCTTTTGCAATTAAATCATTTTTAAATTTAGATTTTCGAAGATCTTTTAAATATTTTTTAAATAAAAGTGCGTAAATCCAGGATAATTATTATATATATTTTAGAATGTGATTTTTTAAATAATTAAACATTTATTATAATATTTTATTACACGTCATTTACCATATATATTTCATAAAATACAAATTTCCACGTGTATATTTCCAAATATGAATACCAACAAAAATAGTAAAGTATTTCATTACATATTTAATTTCCATATTTTATTTAAGATGAACCTTAAATCGTAAATAATAACAAAGTTATTTTTTTTTTGTTATAAATTATATGATATTATAAAATAATAATTTTACAAAAATTTTATATAAAATATGTTCACAAATTAATTAACCATTAAAATTGTTCATATGACTCGATAACTCGCTTAATCTAGATTACCCAATCCAAATAGTAGAGATTGGTTAGGCTAATATATATATATTTTTTTTGTATGAGTTAAGTCAATTTGGTTTGTGGGTTGACATTCTTTTGGTCGGGTCCCAACGAATCCAAAAATAGGGTTACAATCGAGCCATACTATACTCTTATAAAGATTAAGAATATTTAACTTTTGTAACTGATAGTGACTTATAAATGTTTGATATTTGAATTTTAAGAGATTTTAATTATGAACGTAACATATATCACAGATAAATATGATTTTTTAAAGCAATTATAAAAAACGACAATCTAACCCAAAAATAAAAAGTTGTAAACTTTGTTTAAGTTGCTCGAGTCATCAACCAAAATTCATATACACCCATTTGAATAATAGTTTATATTCAACCTTGTATTTAGTAAATATATTATCGAATGATGAGACGTTCCAATCCTCCCTTTCTATCTATTGAACTAAAATAATTGATTTTGTAGAAGATAAATACAAAATATTAAACAAAAACTATGTATTTTTAGAAAAATATTTGATTTTATAACTAAAATCTATGTTCACATGTTTAAATCTTCCTCTTTTGACTTCTTTTTGAAGTGTTCTTGAACAAAAAAAAAAGTCATCTCTTTTTGACTTTTTTTTTTCCACACAAAAAGAAAAAAAAAAAAAAATTCCGAATTTCAGTGGAAAGGCATAGCTGGATGTTGAGTTTGGGCGTAGTAATTGAGTGTCGGCGAGCTCAACTGTGAGTGGGTAGAGCATGCTGCCACTGTTGCTTTAGGTAATAAGGCCAAATGGATGGATGAAAAAGACAAAGGGAACCGAGTTAGGTTCAAAGGAAGAGCACCCGACGATCCAGAAACAGACAGTCGTAAAGGCGCCTTCTCTACTTTGCCCCATCTATCCCTCTCTTTCTTCTTCTTCTTCTTCTTCTTCTTCTTCTTCTTCTTCGCCTCTTATGGAAGCTTTCACTGTCCCTTCTCCTCTTCTTCGTCATTGAGGAAACAGAGCTTCGATTTTCAGGTTTTTTTCTAACTTTTTTCAATGCATTTTCTGATCTGGGTTTTGTTTGTTTCGGCTTAATTCGTTTGAAATTGATGCGATTTTACATAGCATTTGGGTTTATTGTTCTATTTTTTTTTTTTTTTTTTTTTTTTTTTTTTTTTTTTTTTTTTTTTTTTTTTTTTACTTGTAGATTGGAAATGGTGGATGAAAAGTTGGGGCTGTGTTTCTCTCTGTTTTTGTTGTGCCTATCAAGTGTTTGTTTATATGCCACTGACGTAAATGATGTGAAAATTCTGAATGATTTCAAAAAGGGTTTGGATAATCCAGAGCTTCTCGAATGGCCTGAAAATGGAGATGACCCATGTGGGGTTCCTCCATGGCCTCATGTTTACTGTTCAGGTGATAGAGTTTCTCAGATTCAGGTTCAGGGTTTGGGTCTAAAAGGGCCATTGCCTCCCAATTTTAACCATCTCTCTAAGCTCTCCAATTTGGGTCTCCAAAAGAACATGTTCAATGGGGCATTGCCCTCTTTCAGTGGCTTATCAGAACTGGAATTTGCTTTCTTAAATGACAACGAGTTCGACACGATCCCAGCGGATTTCTTCGATGATTTAAGCAGCATTAGAGAATTGGCTTTGGATTATAACCCTTTGAATGCCACTTCTGGGTGGACTCTTCCTGATAAGCTTGCTAAGTCAGTTCAGCTCACAAATCTTTCACTGATACAGAGTAATCTTGCTGGACCTCTCCCTGAGTTCTTGGGGACATTGCCATCACTTTCAGCTCTCAAGCTTTCATATAACAGGCTAACAGGTCCAATTCCCAAAAGTTTTGGGCAGTCTTTGATGCAGATTCTGT